AAAAATGATCTAATGAACAATAGCCATTGCTTCTCCATGATTGTTCCTCGTTTTTTGGCGTTTAAGACCATAAAATAGAAATTCAACGTGATTATCGATTTGCTAATGTCCACGCCATCTTCATGAATTTGAGCGACCAGCCCCGAATCGCCTAAAATTTTGTGGGTCTATCAAAAATGACCTAGTGAACAATAGTCATTGCTTCTCCACGATTGTTCCTCATTTTTTAGCATTTTAGGGCCATAAAATAGGAATTTAGCATGATTTTTGATTTTTGGTGTGCTAATGTTCACGCCATCTTCATGAATTAGGGCGAGCGGCCCCGAATCGCCTAATTTTCTTGGCTTCATAAAAAATGATCTAATGAACAATAGTGTCACGACCCCAATTTTCCTCCGAAGGATGTGGTGATGGCACCTAGGTTCTACAACTAGGTAAGCCTAACAAATAACAACATCTGAACGGATATATAATAATAAGTTACTGAAAATGACTAAATAATAGATAAAACCTCCTGAAAACAGAATCTCACAAATACACACCCCAAACCGGTGGAACTGAGTCATAAGCTCTATAATATGCAACTAGATACTGCTATATTACTGTCCGAAAAGAAATATAACATTAATTAAAATAAGGGAAAGTGACTTCGAGGCCTGCGAACGCCGAGCAGGCATATCTTGAAGTCTCGGGTAAAAGCAATTAGCAGGAGATCTCTATCGACCGGTACGAGCCGGTGTACCTGGATCTGCACAAAAAGATGTGCAAAAGCATAGTATGGGTACACCACAATGGTACACAGTAAGTATCAAGCCTGACCTCAGTGGAGTAGTGATGAGGCCGAGTCAAAGCACCTACTAGGAAATGAAATAGACAATATAAAAATATAATACAGATAAGTAACGAAAAGTAAAGAATAACTGATTCGGAAAAAGATAATAGCAAGAACTAGTATCGGAAGTTAACAATAGAAATAACATAAAAGAAGTAAAGTGCTACAATGATCATGTACGGACTACACCTGCTAGAATAATAAAGAATGAAGCAACACGAAATATTCCTTCCACAACACTTTGCAACATGGAACAAACAGCAAGAAACACAACGAGGTACGACCTCGTGTATAATGAAATCAAACCGTGGTACTGCCTCGTATAATCACATTTCTCAATATCAATCACAATCCTTCCATATATCGTCGTGTGAGCCTTACATTTGAAAATAGGTTTTGGAAACAGTTTTCTCGAAAAAGCTACATGTACTTTAGTCCACTTTATGATGTCGCATGGCTTCACATAATTCCCCTACAAGCAATCACGCGCATAAGTCCTACCTTATACCGTTACATGCACATCAACCCAAGCCTTATACCGTCGCATGCGCATCAATATCATATCACAATAACAACTCGGACCACAAGTGTCCACATATCACAACTTGCCAACAAAAACAATATCAATATTTCTACAAGAATAGCCCATGGCTCCACCACAACGTATACAAGAATATCAACAAGCATAATGGATGGAAAATACTCAATAAGATAGATGTTTCAACAATAACCAACATCGCCTTAACATATTAACGACTCTCACAACTTCAACATCAAATAACTCAACAATGAGAAAATAATGCATCACCGCGATATTAGATAAGACTAACTCATAATAAAGGAAATAATATTCAACAATAAGTCTCATATAATGGAAGTCAACAAGTAAAAGGGTAACACGAACAATTAATTCAAACAATAATAATTAACAATGAAGAGATAACATGTAACAATAAAGGGGAAAACATTTCGACTAAAGCATGGGAGCAATTTAGCAAGTAGAATGTAGAACAAATACTAAACAAGTCAATTAAGGTATTTAAGGATAGTCTAACACAATTAAGGATAATTTGACTATGAGAATTTAGAACATAACATGGCATCTCAACTAAAGCGTGGAAATAGTCTGAGTAGCATATACCAGTCAAATACTATGTACAACCAGTGTACCCACTCGTCACCTTGCATACACGAATTTTACTTAGCACGATTGAATCAAACAATACCAATCCTAAAGGGAAGTTTTCCCACATAAATTTAGGCAAGACACTTACCTCAATTAGGCCAATTCAAGACTCGAAAAATAGTTTTTCCCTTAAAATCCACCTCCACACGGCTCTAACCAAAAACGACTCAATATTATCAAACAATGCTAGGATATTAAATTGCAATAGGATTTTTATATTTTTCCCAAAAAATCAACAAAAGTCAACCTGGAGCCTGCCCTGTCAAAACTCGCGTCCAATGGTAGCTTCCATCTACCCATGACCCCATGAGTTCATATATGTGATTAGTTTCAAAATCCGAGTCCAAATCGACTCTCAAAACTCAATTTCTTATTTTTCAATAACTTGACAAAGTTTCATAAATTTCTACTTTGATTCACATGATTTTGATGTTAAAATCTAAGATATGTTGATGAAATATGATTAGAAATCAATTGGAATCACTTACCCAAGGCTTGTAGGTGAAAATCCCCTCTCCAAGTTGCCACCTACCGGGTCTAGGGTTCAAAAATGAGAGAATGAATGCAAAAATCCAGTCTCCCAGCTATTTGATCAGTTGCAGATGTCACAATTGTGAATAAAGCCTTGCAATTGCGGACTGAAGGCATGGGGCAAATCTTCGCAAATGCGAAGATGGGACCGTATTTACGACCCTTGATGCTCTCGCAATTGCGAACCTAGCCCATCCCAGAAGAACTTCGCAAATGCGAACACCTGCAAACCCAGCAGACTTGGCCTACCTTCGCAAATGCGAACTAAGACCTCGCAAATGCGAGATCTGAGGCATGTGCAGAAAAAAACTAGCAACTTTGATTCCAACAACACTCAGCTAAGCGTCTGAAACTCACCCAAGCCCTCGGCTCTCCAAACTAAACATCCACACAAGTCTAAAAACATCATACAAACTCGCTCGCTTGATTAAAACACAAAAATAACATCTAAAACTACGAATTGAACTCTAAAATACATTATTTTCAAAGAGATTTTCAAGAACTTCTAAAATCTCAACTAAGCATCCATATCCTATCAAATCAACTCCGAACGATGCCAAATTTTGCAAACAAGTTCTAAATTTTGGACCTATTCCAAGTCCCAAAATCAAATTCCGAGCTCAATAGCTAAAAGTCAACCTACGGTCAAACTTTTTGACTTAAAATTGCCAAATTTTGATAAATCAATATAAATCAGCCTACGGACTTCCAAAATCAATTTTGGGCATACGCCCAAGTCCGAGATCACAATACGAAGCTATCGGAGTCATAAAAATATAGTTCCGGAGTCATTTTCACAAAAATCAAAATTTGATCAATATTTTCAAATTTAAACTTCTAAGTCTAGAATCAAGGGTCCAAATCAACCCGAATGCTTCCGGAACGAAACTAATCAAGCAAGTCATAAAGACATAAACACATAAGTGTGAAGTAATAAAAGGGTAAATAGTGCACAATTACATAAAACGACCGATCGGGTTGTTACAAATAGTCATTGCTTCTTAATGATCGTTCCTCGTTTTTTGTCGTTTTAGGACAATATAGCATGATTTCACTATGATTTTTTATTTTTCTTATGTTAATGTCCACACCATCTTCATAAATTCAGGCGACCAGCCCTAAATCGCCTAAAATTTTGTGGGCCTATCAAAAACTACCTAATGAACAATAGCCATTGCTTCTCTATGATCGTTCCTCGTTTTTTGGCGTTTGGGGCCATAAATAAGAATTCAACATGATTTGTGATTTCTCGTGTGCTGATGTCCGCGACATCTTCATGAATTCGAGCGACCAGCCCCTATATCGCCCAAAACTAAATGCGCTCATCAGAACAACCTAATGGACAATAGCCATTACTTCTCCATGACCGTTCCTCGTTTTTTGGTATTTTAGGGCCATAAAACAGGAATTCGTGACGATTTTTGATTTTTCGTGTGCTAATATCTACGTCATTTTCATGAATTCGGTTGACCGATCCCGAATTCCCTAAAACTTTTCAGGCCCATCAGAAACGACCTAATGAATGGTAGCCATTTTTTTCTCCATGATCGATCCTCATTTTTTGGTGTTTTAGGACCATATAATAGGGATTCAACACGATCTTCGATTTTTTGTATGCTAATGTCCACACCATTTTTATTAATTATGTCGATCGGCCCTGAGTCACCAAAATATTTAAAATATATATAGTACAATAATTGATAATTTAAAAGCACCACGGGAGATTTGTAATTCCACCTTCCACAAGTACAATAATTGATACTTTAAAATATTTAAAATATATATATAATTTATGATCAAAGAAAATACCACCACATAAATTGGGACAAAGAAAATACTAGTTATTAGTGCATCGAAAGATCTTGTGATAAATTCTTTCCAATTGCATAAGTATATGGGTTTTGGGTCGGGTCAATACCCTCTTAATCGGGTCAATATTTATTATTTAAAAAAAAGGTGGATTAAAAAGTTATTGCACCGAAAAGTTAAATTTTTCGACAGTTGCGACTTTTTATGCTAGGTGGTGAAAATTTTATGATATTTCTGTTAGAAAACATAGTTATATGACTTTGATAAAAAAAAATAATAGTCATAATTATATTAGAAAATTTTAGTTGTGGTGCGTGCAAGTTGACTTGGACACCACTAATATAAAAAAAAGATTACCTATATCTCTTAGCACAACATAAAATACCACCGGAGTTAAATGCCTAATCATATTGTAGTCTTGTAATATATTTCATGACCCTTCAAATAATGCAAATTCTAAACCATTCCGAATTTGTGGCTAAAAATTATTACTACTATTTTTGCAACCACAAAAAATAAATGGAAGAACGAGTCATTTGCTACCTTCACTTCATTATTAGAACAATATTATGAGAAATAATCGCTCCACCATATTTTTCTTAACGTTCTCCCACTATAAAAAGGGCATTTCATTCTACTCAAACAGGACACACAAAAAAAAGAAAAAGAGAAGGAGCAATAAATAAAAGAAGAAGAAAAAAAGTCAATAAAATACACAAAAAAAGAAAATTAAAATGGCAAAGGCTATTTTGCTCCTCTCTGCTCTCTGCATTGTAGCCCTTGCCAACTTCGCCCATTGCCACCCTCAAGTCTTTGATGTTGAAGGCAAGGTCTACTGTGACACGTGCCGTGTCCAATTCGAGACAAAACTCAGCGAGAACGTTGAAGGTACGAAATATTGCTTGGGTTTTCCAAAATTATTATCCTTCAAAAGTAATATATTCTAGAGGATCCAATATGGGTGCAACGATATTTATTTGAAATTCAAGCAATATAGCATTAGCTAGGGTGCAGACGCATCTTAGTTGTTGCTTTCAACTTAAGCTATATATATTTATAGATTTAAATTTATTTATTTATTTATTTATTACATAGAATAAAAATAATTACGGTAGGATATTGAATATAATGAAAAGCTTTTTTCTTATCACAATAGATACAACTATAATGATACTGACCTTATGTTATTGCTCGAAATCTTCAAAATTTCTATCCTCCAAAAACATGAGTGCAATAAAAAAAAAATTAAAATTTAAGCAACATAGCACTAGCTAGGGTGCAGGCACATCTAAGTTGTTGCTTTCAGCTTAAACTATATATAATTAAATGTTTAATATATTTATACATTGAGTTTTGAAGATTCTTGTACTGAACATAATGAAGAGCTTTTTTTTTCTTAGCACAATAGATACGACTGTAAAGATACTGATCGGCCTTATGTTATTGGGACAGGTGCCACCGTGCGCTTGCAATGCAGGAACATCAGCACAGAAATCGAGACATTCTCGGTCGAAGGCGTGACAGACAAAGATGGCAAGTACAAATTGACAGTGGAAGGTGACCACCAGGACGATATATGCGAGGTGACGGTCGTAAAAAGTCCAAGGGAAGATTGCAAAGAAGCTGTCACAGGTTATGAAAAGGCCAGAATTGAGTGCAGTGACAATGTTGGAATTCACAATGCTGTTAGATATGCCAATGCACTTTTCTTCATGAAATCTGAGGCTGTTTCTGGTTGCAAGGAAGTTCTTGATGAGTTGGGTTTATTCCCACTTGAATTCTAAATTTGTTAAATTTAAGTTTAAAAAAAATGTGAAAAAAAAATAATAGCTTTTGCCCATTTTGTTTAATGGTTAATGTAATAAATAAAGAATGAGGAAATATGGATTTTCTCATGTATATGTACTCTCTCATATGGAATGAAAAGTTCCATGTGAATTGTTGAATGAGAAGATCTTGATTATATTTTAAGAAAATTGGTGTTTGATAGTATTTTTTTTCTTTTTGTTTTCATAATATTAAGTAATTAATATGAATTAACATTTTGCCACGACCCAATTTATGAAATAAAGGAAAAATATATGGTATAATAAAGCAATGTCATTTTTTTTTTGAACATAAAAGGCATGAACTTATATTACTTAAAACACATTACAAAACGTGGATATAGTCTTTAGGGCATTACTATTGTTCATACTTGCTAAATAAAGCAACGTCAGTTGGCAATTTGTATTTTATTATATTATTTTTTTCATTGTAGAATTTGGAATAAGATTTATTTTTCTTAACACTAAATGAGATATTGTTTTAATTAATGAAAATATTGATAAATTTGCTAATGAAAGGCAAATTAAATATTTCGCTTGCAAATTGACGATTGTCTGCTTAATAAAATGTGTATTTATTTTTACTTTTAGCTACAAGACAAGATAATATTTCATCGGCTATTTTGGGATGAATTTTTTTTAATTCTATTTCATTACTTTAATATTATTAAACGAATATTGTTTGATACTTTAATGCTCCACCACCACTTTCTCAGATTCTCTAATTATTGTTTATGACATCGTCTCTCCTGCTGTATTGTTGTAAAACATCTTCTGCAGCTGAAAATAACTTTCTGGGCACAAGTTATTTTGTGTTCACGCAAGGTTCGAGAAGGAGCCGTACTCGAAAAATATATAGTGACGAATTCAGGGTTTTAAAGGTATGGGTGCTCGCTAATAAAAATTTTGAAAGAAGAGGAAAAAGGAATTTAGTCGTGGGTGCTCACTCAATATTTATTCAAATATTTTTATAATTGGCTATGTAAATTTACTAAATCTGATCAAAGATAATGGGTGCTTGAGCACCCATAGAAGACCATGTAGATCCGCCACTGAAGATATGGTCTAGACAATTTACACTAATGTAGGCATTAATGGCTGCTTCAATGACTCAACCTCGTGAACTATAAATTAGACAATGATAACTTTATCGTTGCTCCAAAACTTCATTCATTCTTTTCCTATTATGCATTTGCGAAAAAATGGGATCACTTTTAGCCCTTGTCAGAAACTATTTACATTTGATGGCCGAAAAATATATAAACTTTGTATGTTTTTTGTATACAGAATGTACTTTTATCGGCTATTAGTTTGAGAGCGGCTATACGGTGTCAATTTCTCTTTATTTTTATAGGAAACTTTCATAAATCGAGGGAAGACACTATCAGGGACGTATGTAATGTGATAATAATGTTCAATTAAACCCGTAACTTTCAACGGAGTAAAAATTTATATTTAAAAATTCGTTAAAATTTACAAAAATAATAGATATAAATCCATAACTTTAAAAATATAATGAGTTCAATGCTAAAAAATTTAAAAATTAAACTTATAAAGTTCAAATTTTAAATCCGCCTATAGACATTATGCTGTGTTTTACATTACTAATGTCCAGTGGAGGATCAAAACAATACTCAATTGACATAACTTATTGTTTCTAACTTGGACTATATAACATGTGGTGTAAAGAAATTGACATACGTATTAAAAAAAGTAAAAATTGCACGGGGCGTCCTATTTGGTCGCCCCCATTTAATTTATACCTATTTTTTAAAAAAGGTTTCAACTTGTACCCATTTTTTAAACAACTTCAGCCCCTTTCTCCTCCTCCTTCTCCTCCTCCTCCTCCTCCTCCTCCTCCTTCTTCTTCTACTGTTGGTGCTGCTATGAAACTTCAGTTCATAGGATGATTGCCATAAATATGTTTATCAGATTATTTAAAAATAAATTATAAATAATTACGTAAGTTAGTAGAGAATAATTTGTGAATATTTCCACGTACGTAAGTTAGTAGACAATAATATTTCTGTTCTTGAAAAAGCTTAATGACAAAACTAATGAATCTAGGACAAAAAAACTTCAGCTTATTTAGTGCAATTATAAACAAAAACTTCAGCAAATAGAGAACAAATAGGTATTATGCTTAAGTTCAGCAATTACAAACAAAAACTTCAGCACGCTGGTTACTTCAGGCCCGTCTACTAAAATGATGTGCGTGATTGCCTTTGCTACTTCAGCCCCGTATGTTGAAGTTACGCGATTACAAACTTTTTTTTGCAAAGCGAGCACAAATTAAAACGTGACCCAAAAAACGGGTATAGATGCAAATGCCCCATTAAAAAAATACTAAATGCTCGGACTCGAGATCTCTGGTTAAGGGTAGGGGAGTACTTACACTCATAGGGGGGAGCCAGGATTTGAAGCTTATGGATTTAAGACAAATATATATTTTGAACCAAAGGTACTAAATTCGACCGAGTGTATACCTTGCAGGATTAATCCTGCTAAGGGGTTCAAAAAAAAGTTAAAAAAGATTATAACTAATGAGAATTGAATCAATGATCTTACAAAAGTTTTGAATCCCCTTGACCATTAAGCTATGCTTTTGGGTCATGTTAAAGAGATTCAAAATATAATATATAAAGGTAAAAAAAAAAATACTTTATATACACAATGTAATTTTTTGAAAAAGGGGGCCGCTCTAAATCCGCCGTTGCCGGTAATTTTCTAAAACCTTAAAGTGTGACTTTTAACTAACAAATTATCCGAGTCTAATCGGAAAATAAAGTATTTTTTCTATCTTAATTTATTGTTCGTCAGTATTTGATTGGTCATCAAATTGAATTTAAAGACTTATAACATATAATTTAATTGTTAAACGCACAACATATACCTCTTTTCATTTTACATAATATTTTTTCCTTGTTTTGTCCTTTCAAATAAATGTTAGTAACATCTTTCTATGTTTGAAAATTTTAAAGCTTAATTTTCTCATTTTATTTTTAATATCCTTATAGAAATGACATGATATTTTAAAAATTATAAGAATAATCAACAAAGTTGATCTTGTTAATGTAAGCATTTTTTTTTTTTACTGAAATATACTTATTTTTTAGTTTTTACAATCAACTATCAATTTGTTTAATTTATTAATAATTTTAGTGGGAAAACCTTTTTTTTTTTTTTTGTCTGAAAAATCTTTACTTTTTGGCAACAATAATACAAAGGCACGATAAAAAAGCAAAAAAGAAGAATTTCAATGGAACCCTATTAAGCATAGGTTTTTAGTGAGAGAAAGAGTGTGAAACTCTCTTACAATTTCTGCTTTCTCTCTCTAGAAAAAAGAGCCCCTTAGCGTAAACTTTCTGCGACCAAAAAAAAAAGGAAAAAAAAATTCGATTCAATTCAATGGCTAATAGCAATCTTCCTCGAAGAATTATTAAGGTTAATTTCCTGTTTTAGCTTTTGATCTTTTATGTTCATTGTTTGATTACTCTTTTAGTTAGGGTTTTTGATCTATTTTTTACTGTTCAGAGTTCGATTCAGTTTAAATTTTGCTGAATTTTGGTTTTATGTGATTTTACAGGAAACTCAACGTCTTCTCAGCGAACCCGGTAATTCACCCTTAAATCTTCGTCCCAATTCAATGCGTATGATGTTGTTTGTTTGGATACTGAGTTTAAGAAAGAAAAAAACTTTTAAAACTTATGATCTAAATAAAATAAGTAATGTTTGTGAGACTTTAAATAATCTCATTCATTAAGAGTAAAATGGAAAAGTTTAAAGTTAAATTATTTTTAATAATAGAGATGTGTCATTGTTAAAGAGAAAAGAGTGTCACATAAAATAAGACAAACTGAATACAAAGATATCTCTATGGAAGCCATGTATTAGTATATGTTGCGGTGTTTAATCAGCATGGAGTTTAAGAAAGAAAGTAAGACTTTTGAAACTTGTGGTCTAAAACAAATCATAGATATTTGTGTGGCTTTAAATTAATTTATGAAGGGTAAAATAGAAATTCAAAAGATAATTTGTTTCTAAATAAGAAAAAGTGGCCTTTTTTTGGGACTGGCGAAAAAGTAAAGAGTGCTACATAAATTGACAGGGATAGAGTATTTCTTTCCTGAAAAAGAATTTATTGAGTACTGCAATCCCACCCAGATAGAGCGGAACGGATATAGAGTATCTAAATAGTTGAACTCAACAAGTTTGGAATTTACTTACTGAACAATTATCGACTTTGTCTCCAATTAAATTGTGTTTAGAAAATCTAAAATCAAGATTCTATTTTGAAGCATTGAAGTCATTTCTTTAACAATTTAGGTACATGAACCTCTTCTCTCCTCTTCTTTCCGTCCGAGATGCAATTCTCAGTTATTCCCTGAATTTTCAAATACACTTCAAAGCATTAAAGTTACTTTTTTAACCACATGAACCTTTTTTACTCCTTTCTTTAATCCAAAAGTGCAATTTTGTGCTTTTCTTTCTCGAATTTCCGTATATAGTTGGTGTGATTCGTTTGTAAAATTTGGTACAAGCAAGTGTTATTTCCTTTGAAGTTTATTGCTAGTTTTTTTTTGTTGGATTTTGGGTTCAGTTGGATTGCGACATGTATTGCTAAGAGATTTAAAAGTTTCTAGTGTGGTTTAAAATTAACTGCAGCGCCGGGAATAAGTGCATCTCCTTCGGAAGAAAATATGCGATACTTCAATGTCATGATTCTTGGTCCAACACAATCTCCTTATGAAGGTAATTTGCTCAATCAATTATGCCAATTATGCTAAGTACACAGAGCTAGATTTCTAGTCACGAGTTTGGCAGTACCCAGTAGCTTTGCCAAGACTCTACTTAATATGTATATATTTATCCAGAGCCCAGTAAGCTGGCCTCTCTAGAATCTAGAACCTGTAAACTCAAAATTATGGATTCCCCTTTGGCTAAGTAGACGAAAGTCCATGTTGCTATTGTGCCTCACATTGTATAGAAATGATTAATTATTTATACATATTTCAGTTCTTTTTCTGGATGTTTTTGATTTAATATTAGAAATGATAAATGAAACATGAAATCAACTAGTGTTTAACTAATTAATCCTGCAGAGGTTGAAGTTAACTTGACCAGTTGACAGTGGGATGTGGGGCTGCAAT